AAGTAAACCTCACTCCCCGATCTCAATAGGCGCTCTAGCGACAGACGCTAGAGGCTGCAGTCTTTAGCCTCCTTGCTAGAGCGTCCGACTCTCACGCCGGAGACCCGGGTTCGAGGCCCGCTCGGAGCGGGACGAGTAGGACCCGGGTGTGAGGGGTTACATTGGTGCCGTGACCCGGATGAGAGTGAGGTTTAGGGGGGTGAGTGTAACAGAGGCCAGCTAGTAGTTGCTGTGTAAGTAAACCTCACTCCCCGATCTCAATAGGCGCTCTAGCGACAGACGCTAGAGGCTGCAGTCTTTAGCCTCCTTGCTAGAGCGTCCGACTCTCACGCCGGAGACCCGGGTTCGAGGCCCGCTCGGAGCGGGGCGAGTAGGACCCGGGTGTGAGGGGTTACACCAGCACTGGACCTTGGGACAGAAACCAAGCTTTCTTCCACATAGATAGGGAACAAAGGCATCTGCGCATAACCCTGATCGTGCGGAATGGGTTTCCCCTCGGGGAGAACCCTTTGGTTGCAACCCAGCGGCTGTTAAACCCAGACTCCCTGTCTAGTGGAGGAATTTGTTCTAGGCTCTTTTGCCAGCAGGGAGTTTACTTCCTGTTCCAATACCCGACCCTGCACTGGGTCAACTACAGTCCAGACCACCCCGTTGAATCTGGGTTGGTGGAAACTGAACTGCAGCCTGTACCCATTCTGAATGGTGCGCAGGGCCCACGGTGAAATATTCGTCAGATTTTTCTATGCATTGACATATTTTACCAAAGGGAACCAGGCTCTTGAGCCTGGCTTTGGGTATTAATCAGGATTCGTTCACGACCCCCTGAAGCGGATTTCCGGCAGGGCTGAACCGAAAATGATTCACGACGGGCGAACGTAATTGCTGCCTGGGCGCAAGCCTGTAGGGTGGACAGTGCAGTTTGCGTTCGCTGGAAACCGATTCGTCCCGAAACGTTTTTTTTAACAGCAGGAGAGCAACTTCAATTTCCTCGCAGAGAACCTAGGCTGGCTATGACCTCTTTGAGGAAGCCTTCTTAGCCTGCAGGACGACCCTTATGTCGCCCTCTTTAGGCTGAGGCTTCGCCTTGCCATCTATACCCCCAAGCTCCTTGAGGAGGGGCTCTAGAAGCGGTACTCTTTTACCAAACAATACTGTTTTAATATTATTACAGTCTCGTAATCTACATGCTGCCTCGGCAAATGCGAGAATCAAGCCGTAACAATATATTTGGCTTTCATCCCTCGAGAAGAAAGTCAACAGGTGTGAGGCTGAAACATCCGACAGCGCACGGTTTATTTTGTAGGCCTACACGTCGAGATATTTCTCAATGAACACTGCCAGCACCCTCAGGAGCTGACTGTGAATGCCTCGCACAAAAGAGTATTATTTCCCAGATACCTTGAAAAGTGACAATTTTAACATGCTATATAAAAATTATCTAAGGGTATTTTGACCTAAAACTTCACACACACACAAACACACACACTGGGGACATCAAATACATATTTTACATCTTATGAAAAGGGCATTATAACACACCTTTAAACGTGATATATTGTAAAAATGGCCATTTTAATGACACCCAGTACAGTCCAGCACATGTCTGGTTTAGAGTCATTGAATGGGGTACTTTAGCTGCACTTGGTGAGAGAGAGTACCAGATAGCAAACTGACATTGAATCAACGTGGAAATATGACATAGAAACAACGTTGATCTGACATTGTTTTGCTCATCGAATTAACGTTGAACCAACGTCAGACGCGTCATTCTTTCAAAACTAACGGAAAATCAACTTGAAATCAACACGTTATTTCAACGTTATGAAAGCAAACCAATTTTCGATTTTCATTTAGCTTTGAAGAATGCCGCGTCTGATGTTGGTTCAACGTTAATTCGATGAGCAAAATCAACGTTGTTTCAATGTCATGAGAGACGTCGTTTCCACGTTGATTCAATGTCAGTTTGCTGTCTGGGGTTAGTAGGATAAAAAATTTTAGGAAATAGTGATCAAAAATAGGGCTACTTTTTCAAAAAGAAAGGAATGAATACATTTCAGGTCAAAACTTGTGAATAACCAATTACCTCCTGTATTTGTGCTGCAAGTGATAAAGATACGCTATGTGCCATGTGTTGTGAGCAGCAGGAGACAAGAAAGCCTGAAGGGCAGCCAGATCCTCCCCTTTTCACTGTGCTCTCTGCTGAGGTCTCCATCAGCTGTACACTGCCAGTTAACATAAAGAGATCTATTAGTCGGCCCGAAGAGTTGTTTCCCATTATGAAACATTTTGTGTGTACCTCCAACCAGTGCCTATTGTTGATGATTAAAAAAACAAAAAAACAAAACAAAAAAAAAACACTGGATATGACCGCAGACTGGACTGCACATCATTTAAGCCTTTCAGATCTTTCTGTTTTGAAGATGTTCCCCTTAAACAGATCTTGTTTCACTTCCTTAGCAGAAATGAAAATATGATACAGCATGGTCATGCCAGGAAAATTAGCAGAAAGAGCCAGTAATGGCCAACAGCACAGATAATTGATTCTCTAGCAGACTCTAGTGGTTACATATGTTATTGCTATATTTCTAAACAAACGAGAAGCATGGATCCCTCATCGCCATCACGACCTGCCAACACTTGGTGCTTCAGACAAAATGACTACCACATGTGAATGTTCTGATATCAGCAAAACCTGACGCTGCCTCTGTCAGCTCCAAAACATGGCATTGCCTAGAGAGGAAATCAGACGCTGAAAACTCTAAAACTATTTTTTAAACCAAAATGCATAACTACTCAAGGTAATGCAGGACAGTCCAGCTCCCTCAGTGACTGACAACTTGCTTTAGTGGGACTGGCAGGGAGTGAGACGAAATCTGCCAAGTACAACACAGAACCTGGGCCTGTTTATGGACATAACGAGCACAGCGGGGAGGCAGCAGCTGCCCGCTCCAGAGGCTCTCTGAGGCTAATAGAGCCGATCCTTTCCATTCACAGCAACTGCATGAGAGAGCCTGGGGTGACTGTACAAAAACAGTTAAAAGAGTATTGATGAAGCAGAAATTAAGCTTTAAATGACCAGGCTCCTAATGTAACTTAGTACATTTTAGATTAGATTGTTTATTGTCAATGGACAAACAACAGATTTATAGACTTGCCAACATATACATTAATGAATAGTTAAAAGTGCATATTACAAGCAAAGGCCATATTGCGCTTTACAATATAAATTGTTCATAAATCTTAATGTGCATGTTTTGATACATATAGAGTTCTCCAGATGGAAACATTTAAAGGTAATGGGAAGGGTGATGTGTCTTTCAGAATGTTATGTGTTTTTCTGCCCGCAACGGGAGGTAAATATGTCGTCCATGCAGATAGCTGTTGGTTTGTGATGTTCTGCGCAGTATTTATGACAATCTGCAGGGCACGTTTAGCTGCAGAGCTGCCTCCATACCACACCAGCATGCCATGTGTGAGGACACTCTCAATGGAGCAGTGGTAGAATGACACCAATAGTCATTGTGCAGGCTTACGTTCCTGAGCGTTCTTAAGAAGTGCAACCGCTTTTAAGAATTATTGACTAGCGCTATGATGTTTATCGTTCATGAGAGGTCCTCTGAGATGTGTTTGCTCAGAAATGTAAAGCTGGACACTCTCTCCACCATTTCCCCGTTGATGTGCAATGGTGTGTGAACATCCTGTTTCTTTCTAATATAAATAATGAGTGATTTTGTTTTCTTGATGATTAGTCAGATTATTCTCTGTGCACCACGCCATCAGCATCTGTTCCTCCTCTCTGTAGGCAGACCCATTACCTCTGGTGAACTGTTTGGGCCCCCATGGTCTTGAAAAACAGGGTACTGTATATGAGGAAGCCTGATATATATATATATATTTGGGTTTTTTTTTTGTTTTGTTTTTTTATGAAGAATTTGTTTGCAAAAAACATCCTCATGCTTAATCCTTATCCATCACAGCCTATACTGAAAAAGACATATGTGCAGTATAGGGCCTTTAAATAATTGTGTTGTCAATGGGGGACCAAAAACCACTGCTTGATACTATCATAGATATCTATATAAACGCTAGATGTCTAATGGCGGAGTCTTTATTGCCATCACCGGCGGCCATCTTGTCACAGGCAGGCTTTCTGGCGGACTCTGTGGTATCTGATGTAAGATGAGTGATCAAAACGAACACAAATACTCTTATCTCGTTGAAATCTTGACAAACGGTTTGGTTCCTTACAAATCAGCATGGCTATAATTCTGGATGATTATTTATTTATACACTTATTATTCATAAGTATGCCGTGTCATAACTACATCTCTGCCGCTTATAACAAACCAGACCGTTTGAAAATCGGTAGAAAATTGAGCAAGTTACGGTTATTTAAAAACTACATGCACCATTAAAACAATGTTACAAGTGAGCAAGCTGCCTGTGACAAGATGGCCGCCAGGTGCTGACGTCGACCTCCATTGGCCAGCAGTGCGGACGAGATATCTAGCCTTTATTTAGATATCTATGGATACTATTACTATGTGCCAACAATTACCCCAATCTTAGAGAAAAAAATCAACAAAAACAAAGTTTGTTTTTGAGGGCAGAAAAAGAAAACAAACAAACAAACAAAAACAAAACAAAAAACTTCTGAGCAATACAATTTTCATCTGCGTTTGATTAAAGCAATTAAAAGTGTCTGTAATTGTACATGATGCTTTTCTTTTTTTGGTTCAAATAAAGTAGCAATTATATAACCTTTTTTTTCGATTTGTTACTGCCAAAGGCCTTCAAGAAGCTTTCTACTTTTCAATGTGAAAAAAGTGGGATAGCAAAAACTAAGCAACACCTGAGAGACGCAGCTTACATTCCTCTCTGTCCTGCATATGACCCTTGTACCAGTTGAAGACGGCAGGTCACAGCCAATTAAAAATACATGCTATTGTAGAATATAAGACCTGGGCGTCAAACCTATCCACGTATCAGATGACTCCTTGACGACAGAGGAAGAAACAAGACAACAGTATTCCTGCTTTAACCAGATGAAGCTGTGAAGAAAATAGATCTGGTAAGTGTCATCGACTAACTTTTTTGTTGTTGTTGTTGTTGTTGTTTTTAACTAGACATGTCATTGCAATATAGATGTGATTCTAGTTGAAAATAAATGTACTTGGTTGTGTTTTTTAGTCTGAAAAATTTCCATTCAACCTTTAAATTAGTTTAAATGGATGATTGCTTCTGATTTTACAAAATAACCTTAAAATCTAATGCAAATTACTTATTAAAGTAATCTTCAGTACAGTGAAGGTATTTTTCAAATAGTCAAGAATTTAAATTGATTAACAAAAACAAGTACCTGCACGTATCAACATAATATACTTGTACAATTCCAGATGAATCAACAGTTGTAAACACAAAGAAAATGACTGTTCTCACTCTAATATACATGTATAATTTTATCAGGACATTCAAGTTCATGCATTATTTAAGCATGCGTACGGTCTGCACCTTGGCTGTTTTCCTGCCATCTGCTACTGACACTGAGGACCTGATGAAATTACTCAAGACTCATGCATATTACTGTACAACAAGAGTTGAACCTGACTGTTTTTTTAATGAAATGTTTACTTTAATACCAAGTGTGAAGTGTGGATAAACGAAATCATTTATCATTTAAAATAAAATTATGCTTATTTGCATTTAAGAGAGAGAAAGGATGGAAACACAACAGAAAGAGTCCATGAAACGTATCCGCAGACATAGTCAGAGTGTCCTTCAAGACCTGCACCTCAAAGTGTTCAAAGACGAAGTCAAAGATGTAAGTATTGTGGAATATGATTATATGGCCTGTAAATTGGCTGTTGTGTAAGATGTAGGCCTATATATTCCTAAAAAAAAAAAAAAAATTCTTGGTTTGATTAAAGGGATTAAAGCCCCTGATACACCAGGCTTTTGGCTGAAATAAAGTAAAAAAAATAATAATAATAATTAAAAAAAATATTAAAAGCTACCACAAGCCTTTTTTAAGATTTTGTCACATTTTTAAATGTGGGGGGAAAACACTAGCAATGCTAAATGTTTTTTGCAATACTTTTTATTGTTCTTGTGTGATCTTGAAGTACATTTAAAATTATTTATTTATTTTTTTCAGCATTTAAAGGTTTAACTAAATGTATTTTAAATTTGAAAACTATGTTCCCTTTCAAGGGAACTTCCAGCTGCATTTGAGACGTGGTGGGTGATGTTGTGAAGCACATGTAAAATCAGTGGCTTCTCCTTCCAAGGTTGAGGCACCAATGTTGCAACTATCCAGTTCTGAGGAATTGGATGTTGTTGATATGGGTGATTCATGAGTTTTCCCCAGCTCATACCCCTGCTGATGAGGAGCTTTTGGAGGTTTTATCTCGTGCTGTTGCTAAGTTAAATATTGAATGGCCAGCTGATGCACTGTAAAAAAATATTGTTGGTTTAACTTAAAAAAATGTTTTCCATTGAAATGGAAAAATTGAGTTAATACATGAGGGAGATTGATTTAATCATCAGAAACTCAAAATATTATGTTGTCTGAACTACATAAATTATCTAAGTTGATTTGACAAAAGAAAAAATGTTGTGATTACAAATCATGAATATATTTTTTTACAGTGTGATTATGAAATTGATTCTAGAAAAAGTCTGTTAGATGAACGATTTTTAACATCTATATCACGATCTCCACATCGGAAACTTTTTTTTGTCCCGATCTCCACAACGAGGTGTCGATATCTTGGAATAAACCGACATCTTTCAGAGTGCATAATCCACAAACAATTAATCATAGTAAAGTTCAAGGGATTGCATGGTTATTTGACAATGCGTTGTGCGGGAGAGACGCTTGCAAGCTATCTCTCCCCCGAGTCAGTGTCATCACTGAAAGCCCTGATGTTACCCACCTAGCCATTAAAAAACACTTCATTGTTGGTGGGTAAAGCGTATTCAGCAGCAGGTCAGGTGCGGAATGCTTACACACAATGTCAATATTACAAGCATATCAGACTGACCTGCTGAGGGACATGGATGATTGTGAGGAAGTTAGTGCTGACGCAATTCGAGAATTGCGTCGCACGACAGTTCTATCTCTCCGGGCCACCAAGGAGACGGCCAAATCTGTGGGCCACTCTATGGCAGCCTTGGTGGCCACGGAGCGTCATTTATGATTAAATCTGACTAGTATTAAAGACAAAGATAGGTCTGTTTTTCTGGATGCGCCGCTTTCACCTACAAGTCTGTTCGGCGACGCTATAAATTGTGTCATTGATAAGTTTCAAGAAAGTAAAAAACAAGCAGCTGCGTTTCAGAGGTTTCTTCATCGCCGATCCGGTGTCCCAGTGGCTGCTCGTAATATAAAATCGGAGCAGCCTCGACTGCCTACGAGCTCCACATTCCATAGATTCCAGCAAAAACAGAGCATCGTCGCTCAGGCGCATTCTCAATTTGGGGTTCCTGAGTGGCGGTCACAGTCCAAGCCTGTTAATGGTAAACAGGATCTTAGGACTGTTATTACTAAGAGAGCTTGGGCTAAGAAGAAGAAGTCCTGACGCCAGGTCCGTCAGACTTCTGAGGGTGGGCCCCTCCTGGTAGGAACGGTTCGGAGGAACTGTCCCTCCTTGGCACCCTCCGGGGGGCGATTCTCTGAGGAGAGTCGCAGTGTTGCCACGTTGACTGGATGCGATGGTGCAGGTGTGGCTGAGACTACACCTGTACACATTTGCCCCGATATCCATGCTTCTGGGGGTTCTGGAGAGGGTTCGCCGGGAAGGGACTCATCTGCTACTAGTAGCCTCTTACTGGCCGACTCGAATTTGGTTTTCAGGCATAATGTCTCTTCTGGACGGCTCTCCCATGGAGATTCTGCTCAGGAGGGACCTGCTGTCCTAGGGGGCACGATATTTCACCCTCGACCGGAGTTGTGGAAACTGTGGGCCTGGCCTCTGAGGGGGCCCGGGTTATAGAATCCGGTCTCTCGACTGAGGTCATTGAAACCATTCTCCATTCCAGAGCCCCTTCCATGAGAAGACTGTATGCATTGAAATGAAAATTATTCTCCACCTGGTGTGGTGAACGTCATTTAGATCCTATTAACTGCCCCGTTGGTTTTGTTCTCGATTTTTTGCAAGACCGTTTCTCTGCTAGATTATCTCTTTCCACCCTAAAGGTTTACATGGCAGCTATATCTGGCTACCTCAGCCCTATGGGGGTATTTCTATTGGGTAATATTTCTTATTACTTGTTTTTTCCATGGTACTTTGAGGTTGAGACCTGCACTGCACTCTAGAGCCCCGGCATGGGATTTAGCCGTTGTACTTCAAGGTCTGGCTTTGGCTCCCTTCAAGCCCATTGAAGAAGTTTCAGAAAAATTTCTCAATCTAAAGACTCTTTTTCTTCTTGCTATTTCTTCTATCAAAAGAATTGGAGATCTACATGCCCTGTCGGTTGCTCATTCATGTCTCGAATTTTCACCTGGTATGGTGAAGACATTTCTCTATCCTAGACTGGGTTATGTTCCTAAGGTCCCAGTTAATGTTGGGGGCCCAATAGTGCTGCAGGCCTTTATCCTCCACCTTTTAATTCCCCAGATCAGGAACAACTGAACCCGTTATGTCCAGTCGGGCATTAGATACCTAGGTTCACAGAGCTGCCCTGTGGCGTAAGTCTGAACATCTATTTGTCTGCTTTGGGTCATTCAAGAGAGGCATCTCTGCATCTGAACAGGTTATGAGCAAATGGATAGTCAAGGCTATATCATTGGCTTATTAAATGGTTGGACAGCCTTCACCTATGGCTGTTCTGGCCCATTCTACTAGGAGTATGACGGCCTCTATGGCCTTAATTTCGGGTGTTTCCCTTATTGACATTTGTAATACATTTGAACATACATTTGTTCCTCTCCTCTCCAGGGGCTAGGTTGCTTGCTTCTTAGTGTGCGCAAGGACTCACACAGAATGGGCATTTGTCACTATGGCGTAGTGGGTATGGGGCTCCCACCGCGTCTCAAACGCAGCTCGAAGTTCCCTTGAAAGGGAACGTCTCAGCTTACATGTAACCCTGGTTCCCTGAGAGAGAACGAGACGCTGCGTTTGCCTGCCATACTTACTGCATGCCCTGATAGATTTGCTTCAGGTTTTTCAGAAGCTGGCTTGGTCTGATTTCAGGGGTGCTTTATAGTTTCCTGGTCTATGACGTCGCCCATGATGTTTCGGCTGCCATTGAACTGATTTTACATGCGCTTCACGACGTAATCACACAGGGCATTCCCACCGCGTCTCAAACGCAGTGTCTCGTTCCCTCTCAGGGAACCAGGGTTACATATGTAACCTGAGATGTTTCCTTAAGCAGCACTATTTACAACATACAGTATTTGGCATATATTTGAAATATATTTTGGCCAGAAACCAAATGGTTTTTATTCTATTTATCATTATAAATAAAAAACAAACTTGCGCATAACGTACTCTGTTACTAGCGTAACCTCGGTTCTCTCTATAAGAGGGAATGAGTTCTGCGTAATATCTTATTGTAGGGGAAAACCTCTTTTCCATGATATATTGAAGCCAAAAATTATCCTTAAAATTGAACTAACGTAAAATGCGTTGCGGCAGCATGCAGATATAGGCTTGTGTGCCTATTGGCTGTCCTGTGGCAACTGCAGCAGCCTATTGAGAGGCCCTTCATGACATCAGATCCAATGGGGATGCTTCGCGCCTACTACGTCACATTCCGCCAAAACGGGCGTGGCCTGGGCCTATAAATACAGCTCAATGGGCTGATATAATCTGGTTTTTCATCGCTGAAACGAACCAGAGCGTGTTGCAGGCACGGCAAGATAGGCAGTACTCGTTCCCTCTTCTAGAGAGAACTGAGTACGATCACTTACGAGAGGTTCTCGTGTACTGCGTAATATCTTACGCTAAGGGAACACAGTGCAAAATGCCATGCGTGCTGAGATCCAACACCAAAGTCCCAAGGGCAGGTGCTCGGGGCTCATCTTATTGGGAAACGTCATTGCCAATAAGTAGCGTTCCAAGGGAGCTACTGTAATCACATTAGCAGTGTTCCACAGAGTCAGGGTGAAAATGTTCAGCCTGAACTGGGAAACGGTATGGGTCTTAGTCACTGCCCATGGATCAGCGAGCGGTGCTCAAGCGGTTTCAGTATTCTGAGCCAAAGCAATAGGGCAGACAAGGCGGGAACCTCTAGGTTATAAAACCTTATAAATGTAGACAGGGAGGCCCAGTCTGCCACCATACAGACATCCTGCAAGGTAATCCCGCTAGACCAAGCCCACGACGAGGGCATGCCTCTTGTGGAGTGCGCGCCTCTTGTGGAGTGCACTCTGACACCCAAAGGTCATTGCAAGCCTTTAGAAGTGTAGGCAAGCACTATGGCATCAACTATCCACCTGGATAGGCTCTGTTTCGATGCGGCTAGTCTCTTAGCATGCCTTAACAAAAACGAAGAGCTGCTCAGTCTGTCTGAAAACAGACGAGTGAGACACATATGGCCCTATCTTGCACCCGGCGCAAATGACTTTATACACAAACGCATGTCTCATTCCTATTTTGCTCACGCGCAAAGCGGGATTTTCCCCTCCACAGACGCACGTCGGTAAACTAGGGAATGAACTTGCGCTCCCTGGGCGGATCGGCGTGTTTTGGCGCAAACATTCCCTGGTGCTATTTTACACTTCTAGAAAACAATTGCGCCACTGACCAGAAAAAAACCTGGTCTAAAGTCAGTGGCGCATTGCGCGTTGTTCATAATGCTATTTTAAGCGCGCAT